GACCCTGGCACACAGATGAAGGCAGGAGAGGCTGTGGGCAGAGGTTGACTGACGGGCAAGCAATGTCCCAGGGAATCCCAGACCTGGACTCCAGGCCCCACCTGTCTTAGTCTCCTGGAAGAAACCAAGGTCCTGGCGGAGCAGGGAGGAGAAAAGCTGCTCCCGGATCCTCAAGTTGATTCTGGACATGGTGAAGGTGAAGGTGCCCCCCCTGCAGCCTGCAGACAGTGAGCTGCGGGGTAGAGAAAAGACAGCAGAGGATGAAGGGGAGAGAGAGATGCAGAGAAGAGAGCCAGAATGAAAAGAAATACAGTCGGGCAAAACATACCGTGAGAGGCAAAAGAGAAAGAAATGAGAGAGACAGAGAGAAGAGGCACAGGAACAAACAGAGGAAGAAGAAAGGGGAGACGTGGTGAGGTAGATGTGGGAACAAAATCATAACATGTGCACAAATTCATGAGTATTTGTATAGTTCACTTTGTGCTGGACACATGCGAAGAATACAAGTGAAGATATTGTGACAAGAAATGGCCCAGTGCTTGCTTCTAAACTGGCCTCCCTCAGTGGTGTCCCTCCAGGCTTCTCCTGTCTTGATCTCTTTCCTCCCCTGCCCCCAAAGTCCCTCTCCAAGGTCACAGACACTTTATTATGGGAACTGCAGTGAACTCTCTGCTCTCTCATTCTCCAGAGCCCTAGAGTTATGCTGTCCTCATCTTTCATCCTTCAAGTTGGACAATTCCTCATAGACTAACCACATTTTTATGATAAAAGTTAAATAAAAAACATAAAAGCATGAAAGCAGGTGTTTTACAAAATATATGTTCCTAATATGAATTTAGTTACCATAGTGAAGAGGCTGTTGGGAGAGTCAGACATAAAATAGTGAGGGTTTGGACTTTGGTGACTGCAGTGAGAAAGGAGAGAAAGGAGCCATAGGAGAAACAACTTGAAAGTAGAAAATGTCCCAAGTGGTGTTTGAATAGAGGAAGACATCTGTGACACCAGTGCTTGGAGCCCAGGATACCGAAGGTTTCACAAATGGGAGCTGGCTGTCCAATGGGAATGTCAAGGAGGCAACTGGGCTTACAAGACCAAATCTCAGCATGGAAATACGGATCTGGGAGTCACCTGCAGAGATGAACTGAGTTAGCCTGACAGGAAAAATGTTTTTAAAGCTCAAAGAACTGAGTCATAAGGAAACTCCATATTTAAGGGTCCAGAGGAGGAAAGTTCTCCAAAGGAGGCAGGGTAGATTGGGAAGTAGAAAAGGAGTTCATAAAAGCTAACTGCAGAAAGAGATCGAGGGCCGGCCCAGTGGCGCACTGGATAAGTGCGCCGCTTGGGAAGCGCGGCGGCGCTCCCGCCCGAGGGTTCGGATCCCACATACAGACCGGTTCCCGCTCACTGGCTGAGCGAGGCGCGGGAGCAACACCGAGGGCTGCGATCCCGTTGCCGGTCCCCGGTCCGGTACGGGGGCAACACTGAGGGTTGCGATCCATTGCCGGACATGGAAAAAAGACAAAAGACAAAAAAAAAAAAAAAGAAAGAGATCGATAATAAGAGATTATACCGTGCCAAATGCTATAGAAAAGCCAAACAGAATTGATTAGGGGGGAAAAAAAGGCAGTGGATTGGTCAATAAGTCCGCTTTTGAGTAGTTTCAGCAGAAAGTAGCAAGTATGGAATGAAAGCATAATGAAGGAGTGGTGTTGAGGGTGTCCTACATGAAGTATGACCTTAGAAAAGGAGCAGTATCAAGCTGGGCTGGGATGGGGGAGCATCTTTTAAAATTTTGCACCTTAAGTGTCCACTCACCTTGTCCTAGTCCCAGCCCTACCAAGCAGTTTGTTTGTTCTGAGATGCAGGCTCCTGAGCATGTCTAAAAAGACAGGAGAAAGCAAGTGAAGAGCAAAAGAGTCAAGATGCTGAAAGGAAAGATGATAAGCCTCAGGGTAAGATCTTCAGGGACAGGAAGACGAGTTAGGAAAGGAGGGCCCAGAGGGGGAAGCAGGCCACCTCGACAAGAGGATAACCCTGGAAAGGTGCTTTGCAGACAGGCTTAGGGGTGGGAGTAGGAGGCAACTGAGAGGCATTCCATTTGACACACAAACTCCTTTGTACTACATTCACTGGTATGCGTATCTACCATAACAATGTAAAATTTGAAGATGTTGATAAATGTGAATGAAGGAAAAAAGTGAATGTATGGATGAAACATAACGGTGAATAAATAAATACATGCACAGGATGGGATTGGGGATGCACCTTTTAGTTTAAATATTTTGTGCTTTGTGCACGAAAGGGTCTGAAAATTGAGTTAGAAAAGTGAAGGACCCTGTAAAGATCTGGGGCTAGCAATGGACCCAAGAGCCCATCACCTACCTCCCAATGGAGAAGAGGCACATGAAAAAGATGGCACTGGCAAAGGCCTCGGGGTCAAAATCACCTCCTAGGATGTCAATCACGCGACCAGAATAGTGAGGGATTAAAGTCTCCCCTGAAAGAGGAAGGGAGGATAACAGATCAGTGTGCTGGTGCCAAGGCCCCTTTCCCACCTCCAAGTCACGATGTCCTCTCCTGACTTACCCAAAACAGCAACAACAAGGAAGAAGAAGGCAGCGGCGAGGAAAGGCAGGTCTGGCCTGGAGAGCTTCAGCAGCCTCCACATCAAGGCTCTGTTGTTCTGCGGGCCCTGATCCCCCTCCTGGGCTCCTGGAAGGCTCAGCACAGCCCAGACTGCCCAGCTTAGCCCTGCAGCCCCATACCCCACCAGCAGCCAGCTCCAAGAGGCTGAAGCCACTCTGACTGAGGAAGCGCTCAAGGGCCCCCTCAAGACCAGGGCTCTCAGGGAGAGATACAGGGGGGTCGCCAGGCAGAGCAGGGGCAGCAGTGTCCCCTCAAATCCCAGCAGCCCTCCCAGCTTCAGCAGCCCCCACAGCCCTCCAAGTCGCAGGGTCCCTTCCAGCCACACTCCTGAAAGCCCTTGGGGAAGCAGAGCCCCCACAGTCCCCTGAAGCAGCCAGAGTAAGGCGACGTCCACCAGAAGCAGGGGGGCCCAGGGTCTCGGGTCAGGGAACCGCATGGCGCTACCTGGGTAGGAAGAGAAGGAGAAAAATGACGGAGGTGGAGCCCCAGTCCTTGTTCCTGTGCTCCTACCGCCACTCCGCCCAACCTGCCCACCGGCTTCTCGTTTGATCTAATCCTATCCTGAAAGATCCCCCGGGTGCCCCGTGCATCAGTACCTCCCTCCGGCGACGGACGGCATTTCGCCCGTCCGGAGGAGCTGGGGGCCTGACCACCATGAGACTCATTCTTAAAAAAAAAAATTTTAAAAAACCCCTGACCTTCCCCACCCCCGTTTCCCCACCCCCGCTGCCGGCGCGGAGCTCCAGCGAGCCAGGCGGTCGCAGCTCCGCTCCCAGGCACTCCCGGGGTCCGGAGGGACGAGAGGCGGGGGCGTGGGGCGGGCTGCGCTGCGTCCCTGCCCGCCTCCCGGTTTCTGTCGGCGCCCACTCACCGGCGGCGGCGGCACCGCAGCTCCACAGGGCTTTCTGCAGCTCCCGAGTCCGCTCGCTCGCTCTCGACCTCGCTTCCCACTGCGGTCGGCTAGCGACGCTGTCCGAGGGCGGCGCCCGGGCTGCGCGGCTTTCGCTTTCGCTTCGGCAGCCCGGCCCGTCAGGCCGTCACGCTGGGCTGGGCGGCCGGGGGTGGGGCGCACCCCGGTCCCCAGCTGCGGCTCGCGCGCTCCCCAGGCTGACATGAATCTCCCCGCCTTAGCTATAGTTGCTCTATCATATAAAACTGCAAAAAAATTTCAATTGTCATTAAGTAAAATACAGCTGTTTCAAGGATTGGGCTGCTTTGTAATAGGAGAACCACTGGATTTTCTCAAAGTTACTACCTCAAGCTCTGAACCTATTTTAAGTGCTTTCTTCCTCTTCCCTCCTCCCCCCCCCACCCCTCCGCAAGCTCCAGTTTTAGGGTCTTGAGCTGGAAACATGCAGGGCCTCTCCTCAATAGAAGAATCCAGCCACTCTCCCCAGTCCAAAGGAGGTCTCCACTTACAGATTTTGAATTTAGGAGGCCCTGACCCTTTATCTTCATCTGTCCTCGGCAGAGCACCTTGAGCAGGGACTATGTTCAGATGCCTCCAGGTTTGTACTCCAAATTATGCTGGGAGCACCTTCAGCATATGAGGGAAGTGCCAGATACTGGACTTTGTTTCTTGGTCCATTTTAACACGGATTAGGACAGTAATCAGGTTTCCTATGAGTCCTGTCCAACCTTGAGCTTACCTACGGAACATGCAGATTTGTTTATTCCAGAAATTACTCTCCAGGTTGAAACTACCTCTCAAACTAAAAAAAAAAAAAAAGATAAAAAACCTAAAGAGAGGATCACTTGGATTCCAAACCACCCTTTTGAAATGTTATTGGTGTGACTACCAGTGAATCACTTCAGTTTTAAAATATGTTGCGGGAGGGGGGGGGGCGTGGATTTAAACTAGGGGATTACTATAATTTCTCCAACTGTATCCATTCTGGTATTTTAATGACACATCGTGAACCCCTAATGTCTGTCTTTATTTTCAATATCTCCAAAGTGTTATTTAGGGTAAATGGTATGATGTTTACACTTATCAAACACCTGTGAGGTGGAAGCTTTTTTATCCCACTCTACAAAATCAAAAGCAGTTGTTCTAGGTGCCCTACTCCCAGTCACCCAAACCATTAGCAGTGAACCACACAGGAGTCTCCAGGTTGTGTCCCTTGTGGGACCCTAACCTAAATGAAATTGCAAATAACTGTCTAAAAACAATAATCAGCCTTTCTGAGGTCCTGGAGAGATGAGTGTGAACAGAAAACCCAGGAAGAAACATTTAGTGAAGCCCCATTTCTTAGGTAGGAGTTTGAGTCCCTTCTCCAAGGAAAGCTTCTCTTTATTTCCACCCCCGCCCAACAACCACAGCCCCAACCCCACTCAGCCACAAGACAAAGGCATTTATAACCGTTTTTCCTTTATTGTGATTAGTGGGGCACCCAGGAGGTTAAAATAGAGAACACATAAAGGGATGGACTCCACCCTCCCCCACTGGCCACTGAGCCTTTTCTCTCTTTCCGGCTCAGTTTAGGCCTCTCCTTCTCCTGGGGCTTAAGCTGGCCCAGGTCCCTGAGTCCCCAGAGGAGGCCTGCCCAGCCGCCATCACCGTTACTCATGGGCTTCCTGGTACTGGTGCAGCAGGTCGCTGACATCTGTACTTTCCACTTTCACCCAACCATCTTCCTTCATGTGGTACACTGGGCAAATGAGAAAAGAGCACAGAGTGACCTTTCGCTTCAACAAGTTACTGTTAATGGTGTTAAGGGGAGGTGGCAACTCAAACATGCTCCAAACCCTTATTAGAAGGACTTTAGGGCCCCTCTTCTGACTCTGAAAACCCCCTCCCTGACACTTTGCCTCCTCTGAGTTTCCCGATTTTAAATCCCCCTTCCCCCAGGCATGGTGGTGGGAGCACAGGTCTCTTACTATTGACAACACCTCCAGAATAGCTGTCTCTGTGGGTGGCATGAGCAATAGCCCTGCGGCCAAGGTCATAGGCCTCTTCAAGGCTAAGATTGGGCCGATAGCCACTGTCCATGACCCCGTAGGCATAAGTTTTCCCACTACCAGTGGAGAACATATTTCCTGAGAGCCGAGTCCCATCTTCATTCACATAGTAGAGTCCGGGACCCTACAAGATGAGAGAAGGTTCCAGGTTGCAATTGGAGAGGGAGCTGTTGGTAACATAGAGGTTCAAGTGGGAGTCATAAAAAGTGACAAAAGAATGAATATTACCACAGGAACATTTGAATTAGGACATAAAATCATAGAATTTTAGAAATAAAAAAGGAAAAGCAAACTTGAATGAGCTATTTTAACAAAAGGGATATGCAATGGTCCTAGAAACAGCCCATTTAGAACTGGAACAGTTCTACAACAAAGCATCCTGTATGCCACGGATCTTGCAGGGGAGTGTGCAATGGGGAGACAGATCTCTCATCCATGATGGGAGAGATGGAGAACAGAGAGCACCCACCTTCTTGTCCCAGCCACAGATCATACTGCCCATGGAAAGGCCCATGCCCCGGTACTGGCACATCATGTTGGCGAGCAGTTTGGAGGCTGCTGACACCGAGATACGCTCCCTGTTCCGCAGATAGTACAGCCTGGGGGGGGGGGGGG